CGCGCCCAGACACGCCCTTAATTAACCAAAAAAAATTACATCTTTATTAATAACAAATTAATTATTAAACAAAAATATTAAATATAAACTAAGCAAACGTGCATTGCACGTTGCTTGCACCTAGTATATATATATAAACGTCTAATACATCAGTCCAAATTAATAAACAACAAACCTACATTGGTTACAAAATTTAACATTCATGTTGTTTGAACCTGAAAAAGTAACCTGGACTTGTCATTCAACTCTTAACCTATTTTTTTCCTCTAGGAATGCTTATATAGTCAATAAATTAAATATGTTGACTGTAGGCTATGTCCCCTTTATGTATAAGTTCATAGTTTCTTTCACTGCAATGTTGCATAATGTTTCCACTTTCCACCGAAGGAGGTTTCTTTAGTACCGGACATATGTATTTCAAATTATTTTCATCAATTATATTGAAAAATGACACTCGAGGAATTAATTCTAATAATGAGTGGGTCTCATTTTTCTTTATATATTTACCTATTATTAAAACTAAAAGTGATAGAAAAATTCTTTATATCTTAATTATCGTGATATCCTTATATGCAATTGAATTGAGTATCACGATAATATAAGATTCTCTCTCTATATATATGCGTCTGCCTGTTTTTGAGTGCAAAATGCGGCCACAGAAATTAATTATTTCTTTGGTAGTGAAGGTAATTTTTGGATTAAGAACTAGGAGGATTGACTGTTCAAAGTATGTAGTAATTCTAGTTTCCACTGTGTTTGTAAGACCTTCAGGTGTCTCTTATCACATAATCATGTTGAGTATTTCTTGTCTTGGCATAAATCAATTCATCGGCTTAACTTTCTTTTGTTATAGCTTATGTATGTGCACTTACACTCTCTCCTTCTTGCAGGACGAAGGCAATTTGTAATGGTGCTTCAGCTTTTTTTATAGCCTATCCCTAAGTTCATAGAGCTCTCTCATGACATCTTTTGCTGATGAAGGCAGTTTGCAGAAAATCTATATCATGCTTGGCCTTTTAGGTCTTTGTTTTTAATGTATTTTGTACAAGTTTGTGGTGGCTTGGTATGACAATGTTTTTCCGCCAAGAGGCGACAAGATCCACATTAGTTATTTTCTATCAAGGGCATTGCTCATTAGCAATTGAAAAAGAAAATAGAATTTTCAGTTTATATTTGTATCTTCTAAGAACAGAAAAAGAAAAAATAAAATAAAATCACAAGGGTTTTTTTAGTTTCTAGAACCAGTCTGCACAATAATTTGAATTGAAGCTGTTTCCATTAGTTTGATTTGTTTTCTTGCTGGAAATCACTTGTTTAAGAAGAAAAACTAAAGGGATAAATCCATATTAGCTAAGTTGGATGAAGCATGGAACGTTTGATCCAGCGAATCTACTGTCTTCTGCAAATGAAAATCCCAACCGATATGCCCACCATGTGCTTGCAAAAATGCTGGGAAATGGAGTGGTCAATGGCGGAGGTGGCGGGTGGTGATGATGAGGCAATTGAAATGGCCAACGAAGTGGAAGTGGATTCTGAGAATACTGGAGGAATCAACGGCGGAGGGGTGAGTGCAAGAAAGAATTTGAAGATTTGGTAGTGCGGAATTGGAGGTGAAGAGTCCAAATTCAGCGAGAGAAAGTGTACTAAAGGTGTTTCGAGGGATAAATTAAAAACTGATGAGGTGTAAAATTGGAGCGATATGCCGAGCTTTTATTGGGGGACGGCCATCGAGACAGGAAAATTGGGGACATCATATTTCGACTCATCTATTTTATGGATTGTTATGAAGTGTCTCGTGGAGTTTATGTTTAAAATTGAAGAATTTGAAGTCACATTTACAATCACATTATCGGTTCTTGTTAACAGGTCGAATTAATGAGGGGTGTCTATTAATCTTCATCCCCTTGTTCAGTACAAGTTTAAAAAAGTGTTTTACTAAAATTTGCTGATTAGATTGCCGGCCAGCAGGCGGGTGGTGTGCTCATCTTGCATGACAACACTACAGAGCGAGTAGCTCTTCTAGGCGTACTTGCAAAACATTGCTGAGGAATAAAATAATAAATATGAATTTCACTAGCCTGAGAAATTTTCATTACAAGCTATTAAGG